GTCAACTACATTAAATCTGTAGGCGCCTATCTACTTAGGAGGATGCCCAATAGGCCTAGTAAGGCTTAGGCTTGTGTGCCATGGGTTAACCCTTCCTTCACACGTTACAGATAGAGATCTATATTCGGTTTTATTTGGATAATTATAGATCAGCAGTTTATTTTACAAGGGCTAAAGAGTAATTTTTATAAAAGTTGTTGTTTGTACATAGAACAGGCACTAGTACTTAACAAAATATTTAATATTTTTTATGCTTATCATTTTAAATCAAAAATAATTTGTTTTTAACGTCATGCAAACAAAAATATTGGAACACCCTCTATAACCATAAATACATAGGTTTTTTTAGAATATTAACTAAATTACCTAGCAAATGAGAATAACATCGTTTAAAACTATCAGATACTCTCCTAGAAGATGTATCTTCTATCACAGTGTGACATGCTTCCGATTCCACTGGATTCCAATGAATCAGGAAATATGTACGGCGCTATGATGGTGAGTTCAGAATAGGGGTTGCTCAGGCGCCAATTTTGGTAACACAGTTTGCTCTGCGACCCTGTAGCACACCAGAGTGTACTTAAGATAAACTGTAGTAAAAAAAAACTTCCAGGCGGTCACTGCTAAAGGTAGCCACTAAATTAAGATTAGGAAGTAAAACGGTTGAATGATTATGACACGGAAAATGGTCAAAACGGAATTTTCGGAGCCTTCTATGTGTAAAAGAAAACCTTTTCGATTAGTAAATCAATGATGCACGACGATTTAGTGATACTAAAGTTTAAAAAATAATATTGAAGTTTACGTCGTTCGGGTATATGGGAAATTAAATTTTACGAGGAATAGAATTAATGCACTACACTGGGTATTCGATCGGCACGTGGTCAGTGAATTTTCGAGGTCTTCGGCCGAGTTTCGCAACAATATTACTCTCGACAGCTAGGAATACTATACGGGACGGTCGGTTGTAAAGCTTCATGGGTCAGAGCTTATTCAGGAGATCCGCAAATGACTCAACCAAGGGAGGTTTGACAACGCTAGATCGCGATAATTTAATTAACAATAATTAATAAAAAAAAAATGAATACTCAGCTAGAGGGCGAGACGGGAACGGCAATTTCGTATAGATGAAGATCTTCGGAGGAACTAGAAGACACTACGGTGGTCAAGAAGTGAGAGCCAAAACATTTTGCTTCACTCGTACTTATGCCTTTTCAGCTAAAGCGCTGCACGTCGTCCAGTTCGGAGTGGGAGAAGCCACCACCAGTTTTCGGACTATTTACTACTAATAACAACAAAAAATGACCATCGCACATCTTTGCAAATAATTTAGATAGTTTTGCATGAAATTCGGTCTTTGAATACGAACATGATTTTACAGTACAAATGAGAATATTTTAAAGTACGGAAGGCTCGCTGAGCTACTGCGAGCCGACAATGACTAGGGAATCCAACATACCTTTAAAGCGCACTTCCACGGAAATTAATTAAAATTTACATTATTATCATTAATTCATATTAAAATATAGTGACTTCGTTACAACAGACACACAATTCAAATATTTTACAATATGGTAAATATTTGCAGTGGTGCATAACTCCATGTAATCCGTGCCCAGTGTTGCCAGGTCTACTAATTTTTAAGTAGATCTACTGGTTTGGTTATTGGTCTACTAATATACTGATATCAATGTAAATTCTACTGAAAAAAGCCGTTTTCAATATTATTTTTCATTATCCGCCTTTTGTGATTTTTTTTCAAATTATAATCACATAATTAAAAACAAATCAAGTAATAAAAAAATCACAGCAATACACGCTACTTGTGCACTCTTTGAACGGGCCATTTAGCCCTGTCAGCCTGGCGCACAGTAGCAGGCAACGGACAGTAAGCTGTGTTGTTTTATAGCTTTCCTGGGAATTTCTAGGGAATCCTCGGCGTACACAGCTTGTGTTGTGTCGTTGTGTTTCGAGTTGTATACCATGCAGTGTACATTGTGGATTGGTATATAAAAATAAAAATTGTTGTGGTTTTCTGGCTGATGATGTTTTAACGTACAGCCAACCAAAGAAATAAGCTCTCCATGGCGAGTATTGTTGGCAATTTACATGTAAAAACTTACTTAAGGAGTAGAAATGCTAATTACTGTACTATACAGTTTTCAGATCTTCTAGCGCTTAATAAAAATAATAACATGTTGTTACGTGAAATTAATTTTTAATTCATTTTAAATTTATTTTTAACAACAACTTCTCCATAACCCCTCCTAACACACAATATAGGACCACTGCTCTGCCATTATCGATTTTTACGCAAAGCACCGTTTGCGCACGAAATCTAGTTTCTTTGGGCATCCACGTCGTCACAAAACCGATTCGCTGAGAATCAATCGCTCTTTCTGATGTATCGAGTTCAATGTGTCGGATGTACCGATAAATGTGCCTACTATGAATAGTTTTCCTTAATTCTTTAATTCTCTATTTGTGTTTATTAAGTGTGAACGTTGGGATAATTGTCAGTGGCTCCAAGAAGAGTACTCTATACCTCCAAATATTGTCTCCAACAAGAAGAGGCTACTCTACCTCTAAGTACTGCCAACAAGAAGAGGCTACTTTACCTCCAAGTACTCAAGTACTGTCTTTAAGAAGAAGCTCTAAGATCATTTAAGAAGCTCTAGGCTCTTCCATGAAAACGTATTAAGAAGCTCCAAGCTCCTCCAGGAAGCTCCTAGTTGCCTCTAGCTATAAAAAAAGGGAAGTACCGTACCTACGTACTAAAATACCACCATTTATCGAAGTATCTTCAGTAAATTTTCTCACTCATTGATTCAACTCTATTCACTATTTAATTTGTAGACTCAAACGGGACATTTAAAATCAGATAAGTTTTCCAGTAACTGAAAAACTTGGCGGCGCTCAACTTTTTTGTTGTTGTCTTATTTGAATATCTTTCATTTTATCTTAAAGTCGATCTTGGCCCGCAAACAGGTCAAGCTACTCTAATTTTATTTGTCCTGGTCAATTTTTTTAATCCACACATATCAGTAATTTGAGCTAAATTACTTATTAAATAATTAACAACATAGAAATCTAGAAAGAAGGTAACAATGTACAAAACAAAAGATAATGAGTGGACTAATTCTGACTCCGATTTCGATTAGAATATATTTTTTTAGTGTTTGTTTATTGTTTGAGTTATTTTATTTTTAATATGTAATATATTTTTAAATGATGTTCCATTCATTAATAAACTATTTTTTAAATAGTGCTTACTGGTATTTGATTTTCTATGGTTAATATGATTTGGTTGTTAATTTTTATAGTCTAACATTCTAACAAGTCAAACCATTGTAAAATACGTATAATTAAGGTTTGCGCTAATCGGAAGAGAAACCACTGCAAAGTTAAAACATTTTTTGTCCCTTTAATTAGGCAACTCATTTGCCTACTGATTTCTACTGAGTTTTAGACAGGCAATATACTGAAAAAAAAATATTATGACCTGGCAACACTGTCCGTGCCTCTTCCAATAAATGAATTAAATGATCAGATACTCCTTACTTAGGATAAGTTGAAGCATTATGTGTTAAGGTAGGTCAAGTGACAAAAGGATGCCTACATGGATGCGTACAATATGAGGTGAAACATTAAGATTCAACGAACTTATGCATAAAATGAGATAATTAAAAATAAAAAACGGCTTCAGATCGCATAGGTTAGTTTAGTTTTTTTTTTTCATTTTATATATAAGTTTTTTGCGAAGCCACCCGCGCGACATTGGTTAGGAATTTATGTAAACACAATAGCGCTATTTTAAAACTCGCTATTTGCTTCGGCATTATTTCGTGATAGAGTCATCCTGTTTCAATTCTCACTATTCTAAAAGGCGCTATTTTAATAGGGCGCTGTTTTGATTGACGTTCTTTTGATACGTGCACGCGCTATTTTGATTAGGCGCTATGTTGTTCAGCGCTATTTTGATCAAGCGCTCAAACAACAGCACTATTTCGTTCAGCGCTATTTCGTGACAGCCTATTTTTTAAATAGTTTCGGATTTAAAGCCATCATCAGGCCTGTAATACAAATGTATGCGCTATAGTAACACACTTTACAAAATACGTTAATGCTTACAAACTTGTTAATTAAAAATCAACATTACATGTAAATATGAGGATTTTTTTTAATTAATTAGTTTGTACGTATTAACATATTTTGTGAAGTATCTTATTTTAGCGTAAAAATTTATATTGCAGGTCTGCTGATAGCTTTAAAGTAGAAACTAGTCACATTTGAATTTATTAAAAAAAATTCATTTCATTTGAAATTGTTTTTATTCCTTTAAATAACGTTACCACATTTGAGAAGATGGATCATCTTTCAATCTGGAATCATTATTATTTAAACCTTATCACCAATTTAATTAGGTTATCTCAGTATGACTAAACTATTCATTTAAACGCAAAGCATATAATATAAAATAACGAAATGAAACAAAATTCTTGAAATCAAGAAAGTATGAAGAAATTAATTGAAATCATGCACAGAGGCGTTTAGCAACGGATATCAACAAAACATACATGTCCCAAATAAAAGCAGTCAAATTATAATAGACTTTCCATTTCATACGCCTTGATTCGGAAATAGTCTGACTTTTACTCAGTTATGCAGGACTATTACGCCATAACTATCGGATTATTAAATAATAATTTGGTACGTGTATTACTTTGTGTTTAGTGATATACTTTAAACAGTAGGCGAGGCATGTTTGCCAAGATTTGCTCTAATTGACAAACACATTTTAAAGTTAGCAAACATGTATTTATATTGATTGAAAACAAATTGAGAACAAATTATTATGTTACAGTTCTAGTTTAAAAAATTCACTGACTGCTAGCCTAAAAACTCAAATATTAAAAAAAAACAAAGGTTTTTCGTAGTAATCCGGCAAAAACTTAATAGGTCTATGTATTTGCATATTCTTAATTACGCTATGTACGTACCTGCTGATAAAAGTATCCAAAGGCCTAACGGCCTATTCATTCTCCTGTAACAAGATAAAATGGGATTAGTTAAAAAAAAAGTAGTTTGTGCAACAAGAATGGATATGATGGACAATCTACTTGAGTTATGCAGTATATTTTTTCCATAACATGCTAAATTCAGGGACCACTTGATACAATTATAAGCCAAGGACGGGTCACTACAAACAATACTTATTAACACAATTTTTTTTGTTTTAATAGTATGAATTACAATGATAAAAAGTCGTTGGCGGCTGCATAACTATCGATGGCGGGCCGCATGCGGCCAGCGGGCTGCGGTATGAACTTTTATGAACTTTTCTAATACATTAAAATAGTGGTAAGTATAATATAAAATAAAATAAACTTGACTGGCTTCATCTCGGACCTTTCGTATTAGAACTCATCATACAGTTTCGTGCTTATTTTTTATTATTTTGACTTATTATTATACAGGGTGTCTGTAAAAGGTCTTTACAAAAACATACCACATATTCCTTAGACCAAAATAAGTCGATTTAAGTAAAATTACCTTAGTACAAAGTTGCTTCGTTTGGGCTCCAGAGGGCCTTGAAGTTACAATTTTTAAATCGTTTTTCCCATATAAATTTAAAACGGCATATGCGATTTTGCTGAAATTTTGTATATTGGTAGAGTTTTATGTAGCAAAAAAAATGGTATTAAAATTTTGTCCGATAATAATACATAGGCGTAGAACTTGATTTTTTAAATAATTGCACCTTTAAAAATTCTACGCCAATGGAAGAAAAGGAGTTTGAGTATGAAATTTAGATTGCGCAACTCATTTACTTTAAAAAAGATACTCTTGATAAGACTTGATTACTCTCATGGTTTTCGCTAAATTTCTGTTTTAATAATTTAGAGTGTATAGGTTTCACAAAAATATTTATTTACAACATAATCAAAATAGAGATTTTACAAAAATTGTTCAAAATGTTCACCATTTTCACGCATACAAAGATTTATACGTCGAAGAAAATTAAAATGTATCCTTTCCATAACTTTTTCATCACCTCTAAGATTGTTTATTGCCTCTTGAATACGTTGCCAGAGTTGTTCCTCATTTTCTACAGATTCCCTGTAAACTGTGGATTTCAGATGTCCCCATAAAAAGTAATCCATCGGTGTTAGGTCTGGGGAACGTGGTGGCCAGTTTACAGGTGCGTCATTACCTCTGCCTATCCATTTGTGTGGATATTGTTCATTTAAGTGGTTTCTAACGTTTAAAGAAAAATGTGGAGCTCCATCTTGCATAAACCACATATCTCTCCGAAGTTGGAGAAGTAAATCTTCTAACAATTCTGGCAACGTATTTTGTAGAAAATCGAAATAATTTTCTCCAGTTAATCTTCGTGGAAGTATGACAGGACCAACAATAAAATTACCAATTATTCCAGCCCACACATTAATTTTGAATTCGTGCTGAAAATGGTTTACCTTTATTGCATGCGGATTTTCAACGGCATAAACATGTTCATTATGGGTATTAGTTATACCTCTTCTTGTAAAACCCGCTTCATAGGTAAAGAGAACTTTCTTGACAAAGTTTGGATCTCTTTCCCTCTGCATATTAACAAATCGACAAAAACCCAAACGAATTTGAGGATCATGGACTAATAATTCTTGTACTGGCTTCTTATAGTATGGATATAGCAATTGTTCTCTAAGCACTTTATGAACATCTTTACTTACTCCTAGTTCCCTTCCAATTCGTCTGGTGCTTAATTCTGGATCTTCTTCAACACGTTCTAAAATGTCTTCTTTAACTTCAGGAATCCTTATAAAACGTTCTCTTCCATTATCAACAGTGTTGGGAGCAAAGGAACCGGTCTCCCGAAGACGTCTCTCAATAGCAACAAAAGTTGATTGGCTAGGTACACGACGATTTGGAAACCTTTCAGAGTACACCCTGACACTCTCTCGAGCATTTCCTTCACAAAATCCTAATGTCAGTAACATATCGGTATATTCTGCATTGATATATTGTACAGCCATATTAATAAACCACGCATTTGTTTTTTTAATTATTGAGTCAGATAGAACACTTTCAATCGTTAACAATAAATGTTTTTGTATACGTATTGCAGGCAAATAATTAATATTCCTCAAAAAATCGTACATGGCAAGAATCGAGTATTTTTGTTAAAAGTCTCGATTAGAGGTGTTGAAGAAGATATGAAAAAAGTACATTTTTATGTTTTTCATCGTATAAAATTTTGTCCGATAATAATACATAGGCGTAGAACTTGATTTTTTAAATAATTGCACCTTTAAAAATTCTACGCCAATGGCAAAAAAGGGGTTTGAGTATGAAATTTGGATTGGGTACTCATTTACTACAAAAAGTACCCTTGATAACACTCGATTTACTCTCATGGTTTTGACAAAGTTTGTATTTTAATAATTATTGTTTATGTTCTAAAATTACTAAAATGCAAATTTCGTCAAAACTATGAGAGTAATCAAGTCTTATCAAGAGTACCTTTTTTAAAGTAAATGAGTTGCGCAATCTAAATTTTATACTCAAACTCCTTTTCTTCCATTGGCGTAGAATTTTTAAAGGTGCAATTATTTAAAAAATCAAGTTCTACGCCTATGTATAATTATCGGACAAAATTTTAATACCATTTTTTTGCACATAAAACTCTACCATTATACTAAATTTCAACAAAATCGCATATGCCGTTTTAAATTTATATGGGAAAAACGATTTAAAAATTGTAACTTCAAGGCCCTCTGGAGCCCAAACGAAGCAACTGTGTACTAAGGTAATGTTACTTAAATCGACTTATTTTGGTCTAAAGAATATGTGGTATGTTTTTGTAAAGACCTTTTACAGACATCCTGTATATAATTGAATTGGTTTTTGATAATTTACCGACTTCAAAAAAAAAAGAAGGAGGTTCTCAATTCGTCGGAATATTTTTTTTATTCAAATTTTCAAAAAAAGATCTATACAGTTCAACACATATTTCAAAAGATTTTGTTCCTACAGAATTATTGTTGAACTGTACAGATCATGTCCTCCTTGCTAAGAATACATTCTTATCTCAAATTCTAAAACGTTCGAAATGTTACAGTTTTAAAGTGGGACAGCGTTATGACAACCAAATCCAAAACATAATAAACAATAAGCACGTGGAAAATAAAACAATTTTGGTTTTAAAAATTTTGAGTGGTATTTTTTACATTTAATGAGTTTTTGCTTGTTCGATATGTATATAAATGGCTCATAATAATTTTATGTTTTCCTAGTAGTAATAGCATGTATCTATCAGGCATGTACTTTTAATCTTTTTAATTCCTTCCCTCCCAACAAAAATATATTAAATTAAAAAGAAAATAAATTATTGGGTATTGTGAATTTGAGTTTCGCCTCTATTCCATTGTGCATCCTAATTATGAGTTCAAAGTGAAAACTAAATATTTCTTGCGAAATTTCAAGTTCCTTTCGATCAGTTAACATAAACAATAAATAATTACAAATTGAAATATTACGAAATATTTGTAGCTATATTATTAAACTATATTACAATCATTATAATTGCTTATAACCTTTTTAAGGTATTTTCATTTTTATTATTATGATGTGGTAAAATATCACGTCCTTTTTAAGTGGGAATAATGAACGTCTAATACTTTCAAATAGCATGATTAGCAAGGTTTGACTTAAATTTTGATGTAGAAATTAAATTTTTGAGGTGTGTTAACAAGCTGAAAATATTCGTTTCAAATAATTTATTTTCATTCGAAAAATCAAAACAAATAGTTAAAATTTAATATTAACAAACTTGATCGAGTCTGAAGAAATTATAAATTAATACAAACATCACAAAGGACGTAAAAAAAGAAGAAAAACTAGTAACTTGTAACAACTAGTAAATAATAGACTTAAATAGTAGTTTGTGCAACAACAGTAGTGGTAAATTTGGTTTTTTATTTTTATTCACTCGTATTTCAGTTTTAGAAGCATAACACATTTGTCAAATGGAAAAAATATGTTAATTTGCGGTAAGCTGAATATGTGACATACATTTATTAAATATGCATTTTTTAGTCAACATTAACTTTAATTTACATTAATTTTAACACCTGCTTTATTTTTAGTTTTTAATTTATTTTATATTCATTTCTGTCAGCCAATAGTTAAAATAAGCAAAGGACGTGATAGCAATGCCACTCAGTAATAATTCTATTTTTAAATATTAAAATTATGTAGATCAACGTTACATAGGGGATATAAAAAAGAAGGGAAAATACTGGTCTAAACTCAACTGATAAAAATATTCCTTGTTACCAAAAGTGGCCAAATATCTTAGACCTCTTTCAAACGAGGATACTTAATGCGAGATACGCGTATCCGAGATTCAGGCTGAACATACATTCAAATAGACCTGTTCACACGGTATGGGAGACGCATACTGTAACGGGATGCGTAATTTCTGTATCTCGGCACCTTCAGCCGCTCGAGGCTAAATGCGAATTACTATTACGATATATGAACATTTTTAGACATGGATACATTTGCAACGGAGATTATATCGTAGGCGCAGGATATTTTTCTTTACAAATTCAACTGTCTATAAAATTGTGATAGAGAATAAATTTTTTGACACCGAAAAATGTATTATAATTTTATCTTAATATACAGTGTTACACATAAAATGCTCATTATATGGAATTTTTCTTTTCTAAATGATATAAATAAATTTTGACTTTACTATCATTTGTTGCTTTAAAAATGGTAATGAATGACATGCAAATGGTCAATTACCTGTGACTTTTTGTAAATGTCAACATTGACTTTTTTTCCTAAAAATTGCAAAAATATGACCCTATTTTTCAAAATTTCGAGAAATGTCCAAAAAATTTGTTTGTTTTAATTTTTTTCACCCATCTACCAATTTAAAAGTTTTTCGTTTTTTTTTATTTTTTTTTACTAATTCATTTCAAGGTTACTGCATGAAATAATTTTTTACGCGAAGCGCTTCTTTTAAGGTTT